AGTGAGAGGCCCGCGTACGGAAAAAAAAAAAAAAAAAAAAAGATAGGAAACACTACTGAAATATTTAAATAGAGTGAGGACTTGAGGGTAGAATGATGTTGATTGATTTGATCAATATTTGCATTTTAGGAGTATCCCTCTAGCTGGAGGGATCTCCCTGGCTCTCCCTCTATGGATAATGGATTCAAGGCATAGAGAGAAGCCATAGGGGAAGGGGCTGCTGCCGAAGTGCAACTGAGAGATCATAGTAGTTTTGTCTAGCATGGTAGCATTGAAATGGAAAGAACAATTTGTAGTGGAACAATATTTAAGAGGCAAAATCAATAGGGCTTTAAGATGGATTGGATATGGGATGAAAAAGAGATGGATGTGTCAAGGAAGTACTCCAGGGTTTCTGGCCTCTTCAACAGGATGGGGAGGGTATGGAGCAGAAGTCAATCATGAGTTTTGTTCATGACATAATTATAGTCATTGAGAATGGACTGTGCATGCAGGTGATGACAATGATATCAATGTGGCAGCAGCTGAAAATGCCTAATGGAGACTGGTGCCATAAAAAGGAAAATTAAATGGGCTGGGAAGAGGCAGGAAAAAAGTGACTGTAATTAAGGCAGTGATATTTAGAATCATGCACAACCAGGCTGTGTGTGACCACGTACTTGGTGATTTTTTAAGATACACAACTACTTCTCAGAGTCTTGGTTTTCTCATATTAACAGTATAAAGTTCTATCCACTCATAGGATCCTTATGAGGGTTAAATGGGATAATACGGGTGAAGTGTCTAGTTCAATAGTGCTTAATAACCTTTTTTTTTTCTTAAGAGTAAAGGGAGAGAGAAACAAGGTCCCATTTTCAATCTGAGCTGCAACCTTATATATTGCTTATCACAGTCTCTATTTCAGATGTTTGGGAAAAGAAAGAAGGAGATTAGATGATTTGTCTCCAAAGACATTTATTAGTTAAGTATGTTCTCTGAGTGCTAGTCCAGCAGGCAAGCTGGCATTCTCCTAGCACATGCTGCAATAACATAAATTTTGAGACTGAGGTTAAAAAATTATTGACCTGTTTTATGAAAGTTGTCCAAACTGTCTCCACACAAAACACAGTTGTCATTTTGACAGTACATCCAAATATATGGCACTCAGTAGGAATGAAAGTTTTCAGGCTGTGGCAAATTGGTTTATGCCAAAGAAACAGCCAGTTGCCTGGCTATCCTGTGTCAAAATACCCAAGAAAGCAAGCACCAACCCAAAATAAGGCAATAAGGCCTGAACATACCAACTCTAAGGGGATCATTCTGGGTTCTGGCTTTTCATAGAAAATAGGAGATCTGACAACACCAGATCTGCTTTCAGCTCTCTAGTTCACATAGTTCCCACCAGTTCCTGCTTGATACCTTACACCTGGTCCTTTGTGTTCACTTGTACTACCTTCCTGGACCCTGCATTTTTCTAAGTGTGTCACCCAAACTTCTCTTTCACTAACACCTGGGTTCAAATCCTGACTCTGATGCTTCGTATCTGACCATAGGCAAGTTATTTAACCTTTCTAAACTATATCTTTTTCATCTGTAACATAGGAACCCTAATTACTTAATTTAAAAGTTGTCATGTGTAGGGTTTCCCTGGTGGCTCAGTGGTTGAGAGTCTGCCTGCCAATGCAGGGGACACGGTTTGTGCCCCGGTCCGTGAAGATCCCACGTGCCGCGGAGTGGCTGGGCCCGTGAGCCATGGTCGCTGAGCCTGCACGTCCGGAGCCTGTGTTCCACAACGGGAGAGGCCACAACAGTGAGAGGGACGCGTACCGCAAAAAAAAAAAAAAAAAAAAAGTTGTCATGTGGATTAAAAACATAATATATATATAAAGCCCATAGGACAGTATGTGACAACAGATTACTGCTCATGGCTGGGTAGTGAGGAAGTGAGTAATATTTTTCTTAGGTGTTCTTCTGAGAGTACATACAAATGGATGTTTTCAGAGGTACAACTGCTCTCAGAAAGCCACTCCCATTAAACACCACTCACTTTCTGGAGCTTCCCTTAACCACGGTTTATCAATACTCAGCTATACCTTATCAGCACATCTAGATTTTGGCACTTGCAACTCATGTTTTCTGTTTTTTCTTCCAGAGGATGACTCAAATCTGGGCTCTGTGAAAGCCTGGATAGAGCCCATTTTAGTGACTCTAGAAAAAGGGGCCAACACTTTGATGCAATTTCAGTATTTCTGAAAAGATATTGATAATTACCAGCCACCCTCCTATCTCATTCATCCCATGTAATGTGTTTTACTCCTATAGTTATGTTCCTTGAGACTAAACTTTGTTTCCTGTTTGTTAATCCTTATAAATTATCATCATATGAATAAGTCCACTGGAACTTTTAAAATTGTTTTTTAAGGAAGAACTGTATTAAGAAAAAAAATTCTAGCATCACCTAAAACAAAGAGAAGAAAAAGGAAAATCTTTCTTCCTCACCCAATCCTTCATTCTGCTCTCCAATATAACCACTTTGTCAGTTTTAGGTTATGTTCTTCCCCCCAAAAAATCAAGTTCACTCAACTATACACGTGTGTGTGTTTTTAATTACAAATGGAATTATACCACATACCTCTTTCTGTAAAATTTTACATGTAAATGTTATATACATATCAACATTTTAATGGCTGCACTGTATTCTATTGAATGAGATATACGTACGTGATTTATGTAATGAATTCTCTATTACTGGACATTAAAATAACGTTACAGTGTGTGTGTGTATATATATATATATATATATATATATATATATTCATGCATCTTGGTATATTTTTCATTCAATACATGCAGGAGACCTGAACTAAGTTGTTGACAGTGGAGATGGCAAGACAGATGGAAATGTACAGAGGGGCAATTTCCAGATTTCTTTCTTGGATAAATAATTGTATGGGATGACACTCACTGAACTAAGGAATACCAGCATAGAAAGAGTTTTCACAGGGGAAAATAAAGTCTTCAACTTTTTACAGGTTAAGTTTCAGTTAGTCTGTGGAACATCCAAGTTGAGCTTTCCAGTAAGTAATTAGATATAATTGTCTGAAATTCTAGAAATAGGCTTGGCTGCCAAGTTTGTTCTGTAGCAGACTGTAAAAATGAACAGTGTCAGAAATTAGTAGCCTGGTCTAGGAATTACTTAAAGTAGGCTTCTAGATGAGTCAGAAAGAAGAATGTGGTTCTATTATGGTTTGAATAATAATACTTAAAAGGAGATTACTTCCAACTTGAAAAGATTTACTGCTATATAGTAGTCATGTATTTCACTTATTAAGCCTAAATTCATATTTTTTGATACTTATATTCTTTTTTTTTTTTGGAGGGCGGGGCGGTGTGCGGGCCTCTCACTGTTGTGGCCTCTCCCGTCGCGGAGCACAGGCTCGGACGCGCAGGCTCAGCGGCCATGGCTCACGGGCCCAGCTGCTCCGCGGCATGTGAGATCTTCCCAGATCGGGCACGAACCCGCGTCCCCTGCATCGGCAGGCGGACTCTCAACCACTACGCCACCAGGGAAGCCCCACGTATATTCTTTTATGTTTAAATTATGGAAAGATTATACCCTAAATTCTTCAATTTGGTCACAAACCCACATGTTAATTTCAGGAAAATTAGCATACTCTTATGCCATATGTTTTGTTGTTTGGTCCACAGCACCAGTTGGAGGGAAACTTCTAAGCAGGCAAAAAAGAATCAAGTACTGAAACTGCAAACCCAAAGTTTTAAAATTCTCATAGAACCATGTCAGCCAGAGACGGAATCAGTATCTGCTATAGAAGATTTATAAGTGATGCTGGCTTTTTAAGAGGTTGTCACTTAGGTGCTTTCCAACTCTAACTCTGATTCTGACTGGTAGGAAGGAGAATCCAAGTTTTTATTTAGTCAGGAAGCCAGGGCTTATTCCAAAACCGGCCCTGAAGGCAAAGGAATCCTCAACTTACTCCCAGGAATCCCCCAAACATCTGGCTTCCAGAGCCTGTCAATCAAGAATGAGTCACCTGTGTCTGCACCTACCTAGTCACCTGGGGCCAGAATGCTCTAATTGCAGTGAGAAGGGAAACAGCAGTCATTCTGACACTGCCTGGGGACATTCCTTTCCACTTCTTGCATAGCAAATTTAAATTGTAGAAAGTAAAAATTTCTCCCAAGCTCAGTTTTAGCTCAAAATAAAAACATACAGTATACTTGAATTATTGTAAAATACTGGTTGTGGTGGAGCACATCAGAACACATGATATGCATCTGATATTTAACTGTCACTTTCTCTATTTATACTGCATAACAGTTGGGCAAACTTCTCTTACTAAAAAAGGGACAGAGGCAGTTAACATAATCAGTTGTCTCCAGCCCAGCATCATGAACTTGGGTGAAAGCAATAAGTATTATATGATAATGATAATGGTATTGATGGTATCAATGGTATTGATAAATTGGTACCCTCTTCCCAAGCTTGAGAAGAAAAGGGTTCTATACATTTAAAATTCTAACAGTTTAGCTAAGTGGGTCTTTGTGACAAAAGATGGTGTCACATATGGATTGGAAGAGGTTATTGAGGCCAAGCTAATGCCAATTCCAGTACTAGTTGAGAAAAGAATCCTATTTGTTTAGATGAAAATTTGGAAGAGCAAAGGAGCACAGAATTTGTAAATAAATGCTAATAATTTTAGGTCAAAATATATTTTATGAGGGTATAAATTAGATTATTTTTATAGTTTCAATTAAAGTATTGGTTTATTAACATTTATATAATTAAACAATTTCTTTTTGGTTGAATGAGGCTAAAAATATATAGCAACTGAGAAGAAAGCACACCATATCTCCCAGGGGTATCGATAAATATTGAAATATGATAATGAATTGTGTATAATAAACACTTTGTATTTACAGTCAAAATCTATAGAAAACACTTTCTGTGGGACACTAGACAGGTAGGTCTTATTTAAAATCTTGTATACATTTTCTTGCAGCCCTCACTGGAAATATGCTAAAGAAAACTCAAGGTCCTGAAGAAAGAAATCAAAGTGAAGAACATATTCAGACAAGTTTCCAGTAGAGCCCCATCAAAGTTTCTCCTAGTCAATTGTGACTGGCTACTGTTACATAAGAGAGACATTTCAGTGGCCTGTGTGCTACTATATTACAAGGTTAGCTTCATGCTAATAGAAAAAGCTTTAGAAGACTGACTGGATATGCATTCGTCAGAATATAATAGACATCTACAATCAAATTCCATCCAGAGAATTTTCTAGGTACATTTAAAGTGTGGACCAAAAAAAAAAAAATTTAAACCATCTATGGGAAGCAGAACTCATCACCTAGTGCAACAGCTAAAGGACCATTGCTTAGAGAAGCAATCACAGTGACAAAATCAGTGTCTGAGTTCATGATTTTTCAGAGTCTCTTAGCAGTAAATTTTATCATGGATCATTTTGGTTCCATCACTTTTTTATTCAAACTGACATATTTATAACAAAAAAGTAAGTGAGCAAGAAGGAGGAAGAACATGAAAGAAAATAAAAGTGAACACCGTAATTTATGCTGTTTTGCTCTTTTAATGCATATGAGTTATGAGAAAAAAGAGAGAGAGACTTTAGCAGAAAATGAGAAACGTATTTCACATTATCAACTAATCAAGTCCAAGTGGATTGCAAGACCTTCCAACAATTATTGCCTGAAAGATGTATTACCTAAAAGACTCATTCTAACCCCTGAAAGAATAAGCTTTGTTGTTAAGTAAAAGGTCCTGGTATTAGGGTATTAGTCAAACCCTATCCAAGAAAGTGGAAGCCACTCTAGGTCTTTAATTCAGAAACATTTATATAGAAACTTGTTTCACAGATGATAGAGTTATTGAGGAGCAAACAGAGGCAAGTAAGGCAATAGCAGGAAGCCATTACTACCTCAAGAGCAGGAGGAACCATGGCATGTAGTGTTATCCACCTGGTGGGAACCAGAGTCACAGTGGAAATGTCTTGATTAGAACTGTAACTTCAGAGTGAAGGGCTTCCTGGAGGGAACTGGAGTTATGGAGAAGCAGTCACTGATAGACATACCACAGGAAGCAGAAGGAAAGGGGCAGAAACAGATAGACTACTCTCCTCCTTCTGTCCTCTAATCTTTGGGCAGTGCCTGCCTGTATAAGTCTGCTTGGGATACCTTAACAAAATACCATAGACTGGGTGGCTTAAAAAACAAATTTATTTTCTCACAGTTCTGAAGGCTAGAAGTACAAGGTCAAGGTTTCTGGTAAGATAGCTAGCTCTTCCTGGCTTGTTAGACCGCCTTCTTGCTGTGTCCTCACAGGGCATGGACAGGGAGAGAGAAAGGGAACAAGCTCTCTGGTGCCTTCTGACTATAAGGACACATTCTATCAGACCAGGGCCCCACCCTTGTGACCTCACTTAATCGCAATTACTTCCTTAGACACCTCATCTCCAAATACAGCTGCATTAGGGGTTAGGGCTTCAAAATATGAATTTGGGGGAGACATTTAGTCCATAATACTGCCTCTGGCTGAATCTTCTGAGATGCCAGTGGGCAAGGGACCTTAGGAAATGTTCTGAGATACAGAAATAGGGGAGGGGAAGAATAGATCTGAGTGTGTTAACCCATAAAATTGCATTTGGAATTATTTTAATCTGATTTTTAATGGAACTTGGAGAAAAACAAATAGTAGCATTGAGTGGACATAATATAATTTGGTGAAATATGTGTTCCTTAATTACTATAAATGGCAGATCAGTATATACTCATAAATTTGACAGTTGTGATCAAAATCTCAGCTACAGAAAGTGGCTAATTTATCACTAAAAATAACTCCCCCTAAACCTGAAATTTTATGATTACTGAAGCATTATAGAAATGTTCTTTCTATACAACAAAGATTTTTCTGCCTGATGAAAAAGATAAACTATTATAGGAATAAAATAAAAATAGGATTCTATTCTAATAAGCTGGAAAACACATAAAAATAGGTTGATTTCAAGATTTCCTTATGAATCCCCCCACCCCACCCACTCATATGGTTGCAGATGCTATTGACAAATATAGAAAAGCAATATTTCTCACTTAAATAGGATCAAAACACAAGAAAATCTGTTATAATTGTTTGTACAAGGGGTCTTTTATCCCAATCAGTAAATCTGGTAAGTCACACAAAATCCAAATACAAATGCACAAACCTAACTTCCAGTTATGCTGGCTTTGCAAACCCTTAGTAGGAGAAGCTACAAGTGCTCTGTAGATCAGTCAAGGCAGTTTTAGACTACACTCAGCAGATACTGTTTCAGGTAACAAAGGAGGCAATGCATATGGCTAATCAGAATCAACAACAATCAATCCATATGAAAAGTACAGTGGCCCTTTAAGTGGGGTTTCCTAGAACATGGTGTCTTCTCATTTAACTTTGATCTCAGTGAATGATCAAAGTTCATATACTTAGAAGTTCATATATTTTGATTCATTGATTTCATTTCTGGGAATCTAAGGAAATAAAAAGTCTGAAAAACTTTACACATAAAAGTGCTCATTAAGTCATTATTCATAATATTACAAAATAGAAATAGTCTAACACTTCTGACAGTAAGAGAATGCTTAAAGAAGCCATGATACAGAGATACAATGGACGGTTATATAATCAATAAAAACTGTAATTATAAAGAGAGTTTATAACATGGTGCTGCACAAGTACTACCAGAGCAATGTGATATGAAAAAACAGGGTGGAATGCAGCAAGTTTTAATATTTAGGTTATAATGTTACAAATGTTAACAGTGGTTGTCTTTGAGTTTGGGGATTATGGATGTCTTTCTCCCCTTTCTCCTTTTATCTGGGGTGAATATTTTTCACATTGACCATCTAATACTTCTGGGGGAAAAAAGGTTATAAAAAATTAATCCTTGCTAGTGCCCCACGCCACTCATCTTTTTTGGTATCTCTCCAGTCTCCTTGACTGGGCACAGTAGTTTGGAAGCCCAAAGCTATGAGACCTCAGCTACCCATTTGGCCAGCTGCTCACTGCTTCTCAGTGCTATCCCAGCCTCTTCAATTAAGTTCACAAATTTATTGAGAATCTGCTATCTGCTGAGCATCATGTTAACACAATAGGAAATCCAAAGAGTTATGCCATGTCTCTCATTTAAACTTACAATTTGGGGACACAAGTCATATATTTGGAATAAAATTTAGGGAGTACAACAGCATTTAATCAGACACTTTGGGCCAAAGACTGGAGATACTATTGATAGCAGAAGTTATTTTATGAAAAACAAAGTTATAACTTTTTTCATTAATTCACAGGAATTTTTCAAATTGCTTTAAAAGCATAAATATCAAAATCTGATAAGGACATTATTTCTACTTCTTTCAAATGTATTTTTTGATTTAGCCATATTAAAACTCTTCTCCCTGCAGAGCAAGAAGCTGTTAAAGTACACAGAATTTTTTAATTAACCTTTTTAATTTAAAAAAGAAAAACTTTGTTTTACTAAACTCTGAATTACTTCTGAGGTATTGCTAACTTTTTTTGCAAACAATATGTTTCACTCTATATTAAGAAAAAATTTATTATTAAAATATGAAGATTTGCTTAGAAATTGTGTGGACTAATTAATGTTTATTTCAAAAATAATTAAAAATATATACAGAAACAGAAAAAAGGAAAGTGTATATTATTCTACAAGAAAAATTATACAACAGTAAGAGTTGCCAAACCTAATGTGGTGTGGGAAATTCAATATCAAAGGTATTGTATATAATTGTCTGCTAAATTATACTTGACATTAAATCAAGGGGAAACAAACACCTTAAATCATCCCATTGCCACTTCATGTAAACTATGGAAGAATATAGTAGATGAGAACCTTATAAGACCACAATTTAATATTTTTTAAAAGAAGGTAGCAAAGTTGAACTGTGTTTCAAATTCTCTTCTTAACTTAATGAGGCTTTTTTTGGGGGGGGCATTTCCTTTCCTCTTAGAATACACAGTGAGTCTTTTCACTTATTCCTTAAACAAATTTCTCTAATTATTTCAATATTCTCTTACAGTTAATAGCTGACCTGCCAGCTCGCATTACATAATATACAGAGGAGAGTCTCTAAATGCTTCTGTGTGTGAGTGTTGTTTACATTTAGCCTTAAGGAAAAAAAATAAAAGATACTGCTGAAAAATAGGGAGACCATTAAATCAAGTGGGATTTTATGAAACTGTCTGATAAACACATTCTATTTGATGTCCATTTAATATTTTTCAGAAGGAAAAATGAATCTGAGTAAGACCATTCTCTGTCTTATTTTTAATCATTACCTGTTATGATTCATCCTTGGATAAAATGAAACATTAAAATGAAACACTGCGCTCATTGAAATGCCTTTTTCACACACACACCCCTCCCATAAAACAAAACGGTGCTAAAACTTTCTGCGAGAAAATGTTGGTCCAGAGAAAAAACTGACAGCAAGATCAGGTAGACGGCAAGCAGCATGGGGCGGGGTTGGAGGGCAGGGGAGTGGGGAGGTGAGGGGAGGTGAGGGGGGGTGAGGAGGGGTGAGGAGGGGTGAGGGGGTGGGAAGCTCTGCCAAGCAGTGGTTGAAACTGGAAACCCCCTGTGCGTTAATCTAAGCTACCCATCAACTTGTAAGGTCATTGACCTTGAAGAAATGAATTTATTTCCTAGTCAAATACTTTCTGAATAGGTGCCCTCAGTTTAATCAGTTTTCGAGCTCTCACTCAGGTCCAGATTAATTCGTGTGGCTCAAAAGTTAATTAAACCCCTTCCTCCAACAAAACAGATTCGTTCCAAACCATTTGATGCTAGCTTACAGCCATTTCTCAAAAATGCTTCTGAAAGAAACACATCGATGGTAATAGAAACTGAGAATCCTGGGGACCCCTTGTGCTGTTGCTCACAGAGGCTTCAGAATGCTGTCCTGTGGCTTTTAGGTAGGAGTGCTAACAAATGTCAGTGACACGTAAGTGTACTATTGACCTCGGTCAGA